GCCGAGCGGACGGGTTGCAAGGATGCGATCTGCGTGTTCGTTTCGGCCGTGTACGAACTATCAGCGAACGATCTGCTCAGAGCGAGGAGAACCGCAGTACGCATCTGTTCCCCGACCCTGATGAACGCCGTCGATTCGGCAGTGTGCAGGACGTTCGGCAAGCTGATGCTTCATCAGCAGGAGCTTCGATGGCACGAGCTGGCCACGTGGCTCGATACGTCCAGACACGACGATCCGGTGGAAGGTCCGAAGATCGAAAACGTTTACTACGCGTCCGAAGGATACCTGCTGCATCTGGTCCGGAAGTGGCTGACCTCTAATCCCGGTGAAAGCAAGCGGGACAAGCACGCGCTGGTCGGTCTGATTCGACCGAGGTTGCTGAACGATCCGGACGTGCTGCTGAGCGTCCACCGCAAGCTTTTTCATCTGTCGTCCATCGACCAGCTCTTCAAGGACGCTACCGAATACGCTAAGTCCGTCTTCCGGCACCACTCGATGAACGAGAACGACGCGCTCGGCGTCCGTCACAGCGTTCCGCAGACGGCGACCTTCGGCACTTCTCCTGCAAGCCGTCCGCCGAAACCTTCCGTTCGTCCATTCGTGCACGTCCAGAACTCCTCCATGATCGCTTCTTTTTACCGAACGGCGGTCGCGAGGAACCTCGCGTACATGGTTTGTCCGGACGGGAGCCTCGAATACGGTTGCTCGATGCGCCTGCTCCGCTACAATCCGATCAACGGCTCGTTCGTCAGATTGTCGGATTCGCTGGGGCCGCGAACGAACGAGTCAGTGTCCTTGTGCCGGATCGACGAACACGTCCTACTGCTGAGCGGCGGAGGCCCTAAGGAACTGGAAACGTACGATCTGTCGAACGAGAGACAAGGCGGCGGCGTCTGGAAGGTGGACGCGAACTTCGAGGAGGTCGGCGTCGAATCCTACGTCGCGCACGCCGCCTGCCGGCACCACTCCGACCTTTGTCTGTGGTACGTCGACAGACACGGAGATCACCTTCTGATCGTGATGAGACGTGCGAGCGGCGGATTAGCGGGTAGGAGGACGCACGGAGAATGGAAGGTGATACTCAGACATCCGATCGCCGTTCCGGAAGAGCACAGGCAGAAGGACAGCGAGCGTCTAACTTTGCATTCTTTTCCCGAAAGCGACGCGGTCGTCGCCTTCCACGGCAACGTCGTCAAGACCGTTCACGTTCCGTCCGGCTCCTTCAACTCTACGTCGATCCCTTCGCACCCGACGCCTGGAGATTGGGTGTCCGAGACGAAGTTCGCCGACGCCGATTTCGTGTACAGGATCGGTCTCAACGGGTATACACATCTAGATGTGTATAAGAGACAGGTCGTGATCATCCTTCCGCAGTGTTGGGTACGACCCTCGATCACGGGTTTATCGTTACCGCCGTCCCGCTCCTCTTCCCGGAAGGCCGGGTGCCCGCTACGACGATGATGAACACGGTGCCTCGAAAGGTTACCTCGAAGAGGTTTTCTCTTCTGCAAAGGAAGAACTCCGGAAGAGTTTAGAGCGAACGAACACGGAGGAGGGAGATCACTTTCTCTGCGAACGTTCACATGAAAAGACATGAAGGAGTTCCTGTTTTCAATCGTCCTCGGCTCCGACGATGACGGATTCCTGTCCGACGATTTCTGCGGCGGAGCGCACGTGTTCGCATCGGACGACAGCGGCATCAAGGCAATCGTCAACTTTCGTAATGCATCAGCCTACTTTCACGGGTTGTTCGAGTCGCCGTTCGCGATGGCGTCCCTTCACCTAAACGTCGACGTGGACGATGCTCGGGCGTTCGTACTATTTGCAGAGTTTGCGAGAAATTTGGGATTCGACGGTTCTTTAACCGACGTCGTTCAACTCGACGATCGGTATCTCAAGTACTGGAACGAACGGTTGTTTAATTACGAATGCATATGATATACTAATTAAATAAAATTGATTACAAAGAAATATTTTGTTTTCGATAGTCTCTTTATTTACTACACGAACACACACACACAATATACATTCTATTC